TTATGTATATATATATATATATAATATTATATATATATATATATATATATATATATATATATATATATATTAATATAATATATATAATATATATATATATATATATATATATATATATATATATATATATATATATATATATAATATACTATATACATATATATATATATATATATATATATATATATATATATTATATATATATATATATAGTATGTATATATATTAGTGAATGCTTCATGCAGAGGGTGGTGTGTGTGTGTGTGTGTGTTTTGTGTGTGTGTGTGTGTGTGTGTATGTGTGTGTGTGTGTATATATATACATATATATATATATATATATATATATATATATATATATATATATGAGTGAATTACATATACATACATATATATATATATATATATATATATATATACATATAATATATATATATATATAATATATATATATATATATATATATATATATATATATATATATATATATATATATACACCACACATACACACAGACACACACACACACACACACACACACACACACACACATATATATATATATATATATATATATATATATATATATATATATATATATATGTATATATATGAGTGAATGCTTCATGCACAGGGTGGTGTGAAGCGATGGTGTGGTAGCCTAGATAATGTTAAACGCTTGCATGCCTTCTCGCTTTCAGCTGTCACCGCTGGCTAGCCTTGTGCGAAAAAGGGAGCAGCACTGCATGTCTCCCTTGCCAGTGCATAGCCTCTCCATCATCGAGACTTTTGCAGTGCCTCCTCGTGGCCACCTATGGAAACTGGCACCTTGCGGTCCCAGGATGAACTGTAGGGGATCTCGGAGCAGCAGGAGGCCACAGAGGTAAATGGTCATGGCCCACCGGCGTGTGGACACGCCCTGGCCCTGTACTAACTCCTGCCCCTAAGCCCCCTGGGGTCAATGGGAGGCTCGGGGGAGGTGGGCCTTGCCAGTCCTCCTCCCCCCAGAGAATAACCCACTGGCAGTGTTTTGTCTAAATGGAAAGGCTTGGGGGAGGGGAAATGTCCCTCCTACCCAGCGAGAGAGGCGGGCTGCAGGCCCCGTTGGGAGGGTGGCTGCTGGGGCGCAGGACGGGAACGGGAGCTCCTCGTCCCGCCTGCGTTCTGGCAGCCGCTAGCCCGATATGAAGCTTGTGGGTCAAAGCCCTAGGGAATCCCCAAACAGTGGGGCAGGGGTGGCAGAGGTGGCGTCCACCTGGAGCGACTGCCCGAGGGTTAACCTCAGGCGGGAAGTCAGGGTGGGGGCTTGGAACATCCGCTCTTTACGTCCTGCTATCGAAGGAACTGGGGAGGCTGAGAGTGAGGGTGGCTGCTCTCTCGGAGGTGAGAAGACCTGGTAGCGGCACGATCAGTGTAGGTGGCTACACCTATTACTGGTCGGGCCGCAGCGATAGTCAACATCTTCAGGGAGTAGCCATAGCTGTCTCCGGTAGGCTCCATCTCTCGGTAGAGGTCACTCCAATCGATGAGCGTATAATGGTAATGAAACTGAAGCTTTCTTTTGGCTTCATGTCTCTTATTGCTGTGTACGCTCCTACCGATGTTTGTAAACTTAACGTGAAAGAAATGTCTTACGCCAAACTTGCGTCTGTAACAGGCAGTTGTACCTGGCGAGATATTCGTATTGTTCTGGGTGATTTCAGTGCAGTATCTGCCTGTGATCGAGCTGGCTATGAGATGTCCCAGAAATTGAGGATTTCTGGCTCCTGGTACCAGAGCCCAGACCCACATCATTGGACATGGTACAGCGATGCTGGTAATGCAGCCAAGGAGATCGACCACATTCTCGTTAGCACTCGTTGGAGGATCCTCCAGAACTGCAGGGTGTATAGGAGTGCCGAGTTCTGTGGTACTGACCATAGATTGGTTGTGGCTACCCTTTGGGTTCACTTCAAAACTCACCAGCGACCCAATGACCACCCTAGGGTGTTTCATCTGGGCAGGCTGAAGGAGAGGGAGTATGCTTGAAGGTTTGCTGAGACAATCTCTGATCGGTTCACAGCGCTTGACAATCTGACAGACCCTGTACTTCTGTGGGATGCCTTCAAGCGTGAAACGCTTGATGCAGCCTAAGAATCGATTGGAGAACGCCCGAGAACAAGACAGAATTTAATCTCTCAGGAGACACTGGAAGCCACAGATGCTTGCCGTGCAGGGGATCGGGATTTGCACCGTTCTCAGGTGCGCAGAACTCGGTCTCTATTAAGAAGGGATAAGGAACAGTTTATAAGGAGTCTTGCTGAGGAGGTCGAAGGCCATTTCTTAGTAAATGACCTTCAGGGCCCTAAGAAAACTGAATTCCAAGCCCTCTTCACAGGTGACTGCAGTTCGCTTAGTAGGTGACCAGATCGTCTCAGATCCTGTTGCGGTGCGGGAGCGTTGGGCTGAGTACTTTGAGCAGTTGTATCAGGTTGACCTTCCAACAGTTAACTTGGATGTGGGTAGTGCCGTGATTCTGCGAGCGAGGACCCACCCTCCCTAACTGAAGTTAGGGAGGCGATTTCCAAGCTGAAGAGTGGTAAAGCAGCAGGTATTTGCGGCATCCCAGCTGAACTGTTAAAGGCTGGTGGTGAACCTATGACGCGGAGATTGTATGCTGTCCTGGCTGCCATCTGGCGGTCCGGTACCGTTCCCCCTGACCTGTTGAGGGGTGTGGTCATCTCTCTCTGGAAGGGGAAGGGGGACCGATGGGACTGCAGCAATCATCGCAGCATCACACTGCTCAGTGTGCCAGGCAAGGTTCTTGCCCGCATCCTTCTGAGGGGTATTAGAGACCATCTACTAAGGCATCAGAGGCCAGAGCAATGTGGATTCACCCCTGGTAAGTCCACAATAGACCGTATCCTTGCGCTTCGAGTCATTGTAGAGCGCCGTCGTGAGTTCGGACGTGGGCTGCTTGCAGCCTACATCGACCTCAAGAAGGCGTTCGATACAGTGCATCGGGAATCACTGGGAGATCCTGAGACTGAGAGGAATTCCAACAAGGAATATTGAACTAATAGCAAACCTGTATACTGGTACTAAAAGTGTTGTAAAGTGTGGTGGGGGCCTGTCGAGCTTCTTTCCTGTCAGTTCAGGAGTGAGGCAAGGCTGTGTTCTAGCGCCAACACTTTTCAACACTTGCATGGACTGGATACTAGGCAGAGCTACTGTTGAAAGTCACTGTGGAGCAACACTGGGTAATATTAAGGTTACCTTGACTTTGCCAATGATGTTGCTATTCTATCTGAGTCTTTGGAAACCTTAGTGGTCTAGAGGTCTCCTGGACCAAGACCAAGATCCAGGACTTTTGGGACTTGCTTGAAGAACCTGTTCGGTCAGTACGTGCTTGCGGCGAGGACAATGAAGTCACAGAGAGCTTTACATACCTTGGTAGTGCAGTTCATAACTCTGGGCTGTCAGACCAGGAAGTCAGCAGACAGATTGGCCTATCAGCAAGGGTCATGAACTCTCTCGACAAGAGTATTTGGAGGTGCCGGTATCTGTGCAGAAGGCCCAAGCTACGGGTTTTCAGGGCCCTGATAATGCCAATTTTGCTCTATGGTAGTGAAACCTGGACATTATCCAGTGCCCTGGAGTCTCGTCTTGATGCCTTTTGTAGTAGGTCTTTGCGCCGG